AAACAGCAGTTCAAAAACTATCAGGATTGTCATTGTTTAGTCCAGAGGGTTGGAAAGTAATTTTGCCACAAATGGCACGACATATTTCACATGCATGTCCAAGGTGTGTCAAACAAAACTCTGCGGCGACGACAAAACGAATTTATACGTTACTTAGCAGTAGACTGCACTTACTATTGGCTCAGAAACTGCAGTTTATTGTTGTTTCTACATAATCTTTTTGTTTTACTGGTACAGCAATTAAATTAGCGCTATGCTTTTGGGTAAATTTTCAGTCTTAGAATGTCGTGGAAATGAAAGCAATTGCGCATAGTCATCCCCTCGGTTAGAGGAAAATTGCCGATGCAATGAGTAAATAATGAACATGCGAATTACAATACAAGAGTGCTGTAAAATATTCGTAGCACTTTTTTGACATTATCGTTATTTAGGTTTAATGGGTTGAAAAGTAATTTTTCTACACATGGCGCGTCACATTTGAAACAAGTCGCATGAACTTGAATCAGTTATCAGGTGTCGTGTTCAAATGGCGCGTTGTGCTTTGAAAATCTTTAAAACTAATAAGAATCTGAAGGTCTCAGCCTTGCACTCTGAAATATAAAATCTGAATTTGGCGGGACGATGTAATTTTTAAAACTGAAAGGGATCCAATAAGCAGAACCAACACTCCTTGGCCATTTTAATTAATTCCTTGGAATTTTGGAGCTTTACGTGAACTATGAAACAGTATTAAGTCTCATTACTACCTTGAGAGTAAACAAACAAACGGAATCTCTGCAAGGTTCGACGAGATTCAAACAACAGTTTTTTTTAGTAACATTTCGATCGAAACTGTTTGGAATAATGGAGTGTCGCATCTGATCATCTCTCAGTCTTTGAAATCACATTTTGGTGATACCTTTGTTGCGTTAATTCAACAATAAACCTGAATATTTAGATAAGAATTACCTTAATCGAAGAACGTAGATTGAATGCTGTGGCGAAATGGCCTCTTGGTGTTGCTAAACTATGCGACGACGTTCTTACAGACGAAGCTTGTAAAGTCAACAACTCAATGGAATATTTATGAACCGCAGCTTTACCAAAAAGTCACTTTACCGTATCGCATTTGCATGGTCACGGATCATCAGTAGATGGTCAGATCAGGTAAACTAAAAGCTCTGAGTAGCAACCTTATCAAGAAAGGTATTTTACGACGTAAAGCTACCTAAGGACATAACTTCAGGGGTTTCAAAATGTTTTGAAGTAGGCGGCCGATTCTGGAAAAGTAGGCGGCTGTGATAACGCCGAGATTGTTTGTCACGAGCAGACTGTTAGTAAGGGGAGGGGGGGGATCGGGGTTCGGAGTCTCCCGCTTCCCGTGCCACGCTCTCCCGCCTCCCGTACTTGTGTGCCCCCTTGCCTCCCGACTCCCGCCCTCCATTGTGTTGCTCCCGTCTTCAAGTTAAGAGGATCAGAAACCCGGGTTTTAGTTTCAAGCAGAGCTAAAAGTTAATATTCTTGTTCATTTGGACTGGCCTTTGTTTTGGCTGGGGATCATTAGTTCCCGATGAAAGCTACCACTGGTCAGTTTTCTTATTAAAATAAGTTTCACTAACCGGGTTCTTACAGTTTGATCGTCGCTTCTGACATCTCGTCATAGAGACGAAAGTCTCAGCTCACAATGTGATGTAATAGCTATTGCCAATTGAAAAAAAAATGAAAAAATCAAGAGGTAGACGTAACGTTTAGAGTTTGCTTCTTCTTTATTCGTGCTTGCTTTCCCTTTTTAACGTAATTAGGACTAAGTATTCGTAGTTAGTACATCAATTGTTGAACCGTTTGCATTTTGAGCGTTCTGTTTCATTGCCACGTGAAGCATGATTCAACAGTCTTGTTCGACCGATTATCAGATTTGTTCGATGGGTTGAAATCGTCTTTTAACCTTTGCAGTTAGAAAAAGTCTTCCATGCGCCGGGGAGGCCGCAATGACCTCTTCCTACTTCAAATTTTGGTTAGAGCCTCTTCTTCCTCCGAGTCAAGATGACATTCTTGATTTTCTTCAGTTTCATTTGTTTCTAATTCACAATCCCCTGGGCAGTGTGAAAGGTTCTGGCAAAATCTTTCTTCAGTTAGCTCTAAACGACCGTTGAATAATCGTATCGAATCTTCACCAATTTCACAAATAACGTCACTTTTCTTGCATTTTGCTTCTTCGCTAGATGTTTCGAAGAGAAAACAGCTTTCATCTAGTATGACATATGTAGTAACAAAGAAATCATTTGCGTTCATCTCACGTGAAATGAAGATAGAGAAAAAGTTGGATTTGCCTTTGATTGCGTAAATTCTAGTATGTGATGACTGATACGTCTTGTGATCATACCCAGGCAAGGGTACGGGCTCTACATCGCTTCTATAGTTAGTACCTGATGGATGCACTGGTGTATCTGCCTCCTTTTCCGAACTCACAGCCTTAAAAAGCTCCTGTATTGAAGTAAGAGCTTGTTCCTCGGTGCTGTCGTGTGCATCCACTGAAGTGTACATATAGAAGGGGAGAGTGCCAGCTTTGGCTTTCGTGAAAGAATGATTTTGCACGGACTGTTGCCTGACCCCTCGTCCAAATTCATTTCTCCAATCGTTAAGGCGTTTGATGTCCTCTTTATTCAGGTACGTAGTTGGCTCTCATGGCACTGGAAGTAAGTCTTCGTACTTGATTGAAAACTGTGATGGTAGCTCATAGTGTTGTTTCTCCCGAGTGAAGCAAATATAACCAGG